TTTAATACAATAAACCTTCCCGACGACAAAGCCTTTTATACAAAAAAGATAGATCGTTCATGTAACAAATATTAACGCCAGTATTTATATTAATATCTGTCTATAACTTGATCTGAACGATGAGAAGGAAATAATATTAAAATATAGAACTTTATCATGGAATCTCCTGAATGTAATCCTGAATATGTCTGCATTTAAATGATCCATTAGTTACTAATACAAATCTATTTTTGTCCTCTTTATTTTGCTCCCTATGCGCAGTCATTATAAACAGGGGACATGTAGTTCCACTAAATTATCCGTTTTTGTTGTTTTTTTCCAAAAACTATTTTCAATCAATGTTGCCGTTCCGATTTTATAAATGATTTTATCGTACCTTTAAAGAGGAACATTTTTCACTTCATTTTTTTTTCAGTATCCACAAATGGACCTGTGATGTTGTTATTTTCTCTTATTTTAGAAAGAGGATGTATTTATGTACTGTATCAAACATTTTTTAACAACATCATTGATGTTATAAAATTATAATAGTCAGACACGTTTGTGGTCTACATTTAAAGGGACTCGACTGAATCTGTTTGACATAATAGGACTGAAAATTTTTTTCAGTGATTTGTGTACCATTTGATGTAGATCTGGACCAATCATTTGTGTGCATATATTCAAATCATTCCCTCTTTCCGTTTTTCCACAATATTCAATTTTATTGCGTAAAATGATCAAAAAATGAACAATCGTTGCACCGCTTTTCACTCAAACTTGGCTCGAAATCGCACAAAAGAATTGATGTAAATTTAATTCATACTATATTTCTTTATTATTCTTTTGCTCATTTGTCCACTTAAAGTGCTTCACTTGATCTATATAAGAATTTTAAATGTTATGTTTTTAGGATTTTTGACCTCAATTTCAAGACAAATAATAATAATACTTGTCATAGAAGTCTTGAATTGTTACATGTTGTTAATCACATAATACAAAATCCAATTTTCAGAATTGACAACTCCAGTTGTTATGCTTAAATTAAACCCGTATTGTAAACAATTTATCTGTTGGCACTAGACTGATAATTTGTGCGGTATACGGGCTGATTTACAAGAATGATTTTGCCCTTGTCCTGGTTGAATTGAATCTAGAGTAGTTCGTTGTTAATAGAGTAGACAATGAAGTTGATCCTACAGTAGATAATAAAGTTGTGACTCAAGCATCCTTAAGTCATTAAGTTTTGTTAGAATATCATGTAAGTTGTACAGGCATGTGTGGCTAAAGTTGTGGAAATACTACTAGCAGCAGCCATAAACATTATATTAAGTTATATCAAGCCTGCATACCTTTAAGTCAGTACAACTATTTTTAATGTGCATGTACATAATTATTAACATTGAAAAAGTCAAGTCTTGCTTTTGATAAAAAAAACTTAACATTAAAAAGTCGATAAATCGCCAGGATTTGATGCATTTTGTCATAAATGTCATAAGTTTAAGTCTTTTGATGTTGTTTTTTTTGTTGTTGTTGTTGTTGTTGTTGTTGTTGTTATAATTGTTATTGTTGCTGTTACTGTTGTTGTTTTTGTTGCTGCTGCTGCTGCTGCTACTGCTGCTGCTGCTGCTTCTTTTGTAGTAGTTGTTATTGTTATTGCTGGTATTGTTGTTTGTTGTTGTTTTTATTATTAATTTTGTTGTTATTGCTAATGCTGCTGCTTTTGTTGCTGCTGCTGATGTTGTTGTTGTTTTGTTGTTGTTATTGTTGTTTTCTAGTTATTTGATTTTGTTTACAAATAAGATACATTGTGTTCGTCTATACTTTACAATCCTGGTAAAAGAACACAGCATGCCTTAATTCTCATTCATGCTTCTGAGACAGTATTTAAACATTATACGAGTATACTTTTTTCCTTTCTATAAAATACTGTCCAGTTTGGGAATATTATTTTCAATCAGTTAATGCGTTTTCATCAGACAATACCACTAGAAGGTTTCCAAACATCGTTTTTAATTACTTTTGACAAATATTTCATCTCTCACAAAGTATATCAATGCGAATTGTAATAAAAATGTGTGTAATGATATTGATGGATTAAAAAGATAAAAAAAACTATAGCGTAAGGAAATCAGATCAAGTTTTTTTATTATTCCCAGAAGTAAAACAAGAAGTAAGGATAGCGGTGGCCTCTTGGTTAAGGTGTCTGCCTCTCAACCCGTGGATTATGGGTTCCAGCCCTAATCGGGGTCTCGACCATGATTCTTCATGTGACACCAGTAGTGGTTGGTTCCTGGAAACAGACTCGAAAGTGATTAATATAAGTTGAAAGAACTTGTTCCGCAATCGGGCTTAACTAAATATGTTTTAACCAGAAGTAAAATAATATTTTTCCCGTATGACATAATGTATCATGAATTCAGTATGTTATTTCATACGAAACAAAAGAAAACACCAGCACGTGTTACTTCTAATCACTGTTCCTTTCTGCGAGCATGTACATTTAAACTTGAAAATTTCTTGTAAAAAAATGAAAGAAGACACGTGTTTCTGATTTGGAACGGGTTAGTTCAAGGAGACGGTATCGAAAGTTAATGCACCCGTGTGTATGTTCTATATGTAATAAGGGTCTATCCAATCCGCCCGCTCAGGCACTGAGAGTACGAACCCCAAAAAGTGTACCCGATATCACCTTTTACCTTTTATCACGATCGCGCTAAAAAGTATGTTTAAATTGAACTAATTAGATAGATCTTGTTTATGGTTTAGTTTCGAGTATATATGGTCACACAGTTAACAATTGAAAGTACTTGTAAAAGTTCATTATTCAGTTCAATGACCGGAACCTGAAAGAGGTCGGTTTCCCCTCGTCTATCTCAGATATAGATCTTGAAAATATTTTTCAAAACAAAATATTCTAAATTCTTCCTCTTTCATCAATACATTTGTGTAGTTTAAAGTCACGATAACAAGTGATGTTTAGTGTAAGTTGCAAGGAGAGTTTGTTTGTTTTTGTTAGTTTGTTTGTTGTTTCTTTGTTTTTTGCTGGGTTTTTTTTGTTGTTGTTTTTTTCCAAATAATTTCTAAAACAAAGTTATCAACCTTATAATATAAAATGAATGAATTAAGATTTCATACTTCAACATTTTGCATTTTTAAATTCTAATTTCACTATTAATGTCCCTCCAACATCTTCTTTCAACCACTGTATTAAAGTGAATATAAGTCTATATACTGGTAATGTGTAGTTAAAGGAGCTTCACTCAGGTCCAAAACCTTAAAGACGAAAAAATTGAATTACTTTCATAAATCGGCTGGGGCACTTTAAAAAGAGATATGCAATATATATCTAAGAAAAATAACCGAAACTAAATTGAAATTCGTGTTTTTGTGCTTTAATTAGACGTGTTTTTGTGCTTTAATTAGCACGATTTGAGTGAAAGTCGTTGCAACGCCTTTCAATTTGGGGTTTTATTTCACAACAAGAATAATTATTCTGAAAAATAGGGAGTAAGCAAATGATCTGAATTTTTGCACACAAGTTATTGGTCTAGACCTACATCAAATAGAACATAAATCTGGAAAAAATATTTCCAGTCCGGTCACGTCAAAACATTCGTCGAGTCCCTTTAATGAATATATACGTAAATTAACTTTAACCTGCTATATAAAAAGGCAACAGATTCTACCCATGTCACCAGAAGAGAGGCACTTGTCGTCTTATCATGGTCAGCTCTGATATCGCTATTTAGTCAATACATATTTTGATTTTTTTGTAAGTAAAGATAACATGGTTATCTTGTAAGATTGACATGTATAGGGAAGGACCTTAGCTAGCGACAACACGACACTGCGTCAAACGGCGCGTTGTCGGACTTTCGTCTTGTCCTGTCGCTAACGATACACGCCGAACGGCGCGTTGTCATGCGGCGTGTTGTCGCGATGCCACATTGTCGTTCGGCTCAAATCGAAGGATTGGCTTATAAGCAAAGTGACAGGGCAACGTTGCGACAACGACAACTAGAGACAGGGCGACAAGACGAGAGTGCGACAATGCGCCGATTGGCGCGTTTCGCTAGCGACAAGACGACAAGAAGAAAAGGCGAGAACAATAAAGGTTGTGTTGTCGCTATCGACAACGCAATACGCAAAGTGTACCAAATCAGCCACCATAATTTTCTGTTGATTTATCATGCACAAATATACTGTAAAATAGTACTAAATGAACAAGTCAATTGGAGATATTTGAAGATATTTAGATATTATGCGTGGTAAGGGTTAAATTCCAACAGGGAAAATCCTAATAATGTAAAATAGATTTTTCCCGTAGATTATTTCAGAAAAATTATTGTTTTCATTTAGAAAGGCAAATTGGCTATATAAATCGCATATATTCATAAAGGAAAGAAAAAAAAATGTTTTTCTTAATATTTGTTAAACAAATTATCAACTTTGCCTTTAAATATAAAAGAGATAGCACTAATAATGAAGGAATTGCAAGCATTAAAGGCCCATTTATCCACACTGTTAAAGTTATTTAGTATTTTGTATGGAAGTGAAAATACCACCTGTTTCACGTTATGCTACAAAATATTTCACATTCAGCGCTATTTTTTCAGATGATCAGCATCACACATGTTCTTAATCTATCACTACAACATTATAAAACATAAACATATATATCTCCTTTCTGTCGAATGAAAAAAAATCTGATTCTCAATGTGCTTTTATTATGAACCATTGTTTTAAACAGCTTGTTTCGGATACTGCATTGTTTGCATGTTTATGATTCGTATTAACAATTTTGATACTGGTTAGAACATGGTATGCTATACATCATTTTCATTATCTCTACGGATCATCTGACATGTATGTCCGAACTTATTAGTTACAATCGAAGTTGATAACATGATATTATCACAAACCGCAGAGTATCATTTCCGAATTTCTCGGTATCATCTTTCATTATTTATTGATCTAAGGACGCAGTTTGTATATTAAAACATCCACTAATTAGACCACTGAAAGTTTGCTCTAATTGGTTATCGCGTTTTTGTTAAAAGATGGACACTTCTGTTGTCTGACCTTTCACTTATTTAAGTATATAATCGCATTGATCTGTTTCATATTTAAGTGTTACAAATGCTTTTAGCATTGTTGATCGGTATACGCCAAGGGGAAATAGTGGCAGTGTACTTCTTTGATGAAGTGGTCTGACCTAGTTCCTTTACAAGGTGGAATCGCAATATATTAGGAAATCTGATGAGCTTTGATGGTTTAAGAGCAGAAAACGGGAATTGTTGACATAAAAAAATTAATTCTGAGAAAGACAACAAGTTTTAGATACCTGCTACCTGACATCTGTCACACAATAACTCGATAAAAAAAGAAAACAAAACACGCGATAAATACAGGACATCGGAAACGAAAATATTAGGGAAAATGTGTTTGTTTGTTTTTTCTCAGCGTGACTAATTATCTGGATTTATGAAATCAGGATATTCAGCAACTGACAACAAAACAAAACGTGTGACCGTATTATATTACGGAAAATAGTGGAACTGATATGTCAAATCCAAATTTGAAAGGAAAAAAGGTCAGTCAAACAAACAAGGAAAAGAATTTTCGAATTAATGTATTTGCATGATTATTTCTATTTATTTCATTTTTTTATTTATATCGTAAAAATATTTTCCGAGGACATGTAAAGAAAATGGAGGACAGTAATTGTATAATCGCTATATAATATTTTGACAGATTACTTCTTATTCAAATAACTTCTTGTTCATTTAGATTGCATCTTATCTAGATTGCTTCTTATTCAGATTACTTCTTATTCAGATTATTTCTTCTATTAATTCATTAATCAAAGCAGCGAATAATTTAATAAAAATCATTGTTCGCGTCAAAAATCGAAATGAAAAAAAATAATGTAACAAGTAAGGTTTATATTACATTCTCGTGTGAATAGCGTTGCAAAATGTTTTATGGTTAATTACGTTATAATTGAGCCGCGTCACGACAAAACCAACATAATGGGTTTGCGACCAGCATGGATCCAGACCAGCCTGCGCTTCCGCGCAGTCTGATCAGGATCCATGCTGTTCGCTATCAGTTTCTCTACTTGTAATAGGGTTTGTAAGCGAACAGCATGGATCCTGATCAGACTGCGCGGATGCACAGGCTGGTCTGAATCCATGCTGGTCGCAAACCCACTATGTTGGTTTTGTCATGACGCAGGTACGGAGATGTATATAATAAACGGGTTGATATAAGACTATTTCTTGATATACTTCTTGCTTTTGTCCCTCATAAATTTCACCAGAATTGGCTAAGTAAAATCATCCAGAAAATTCCCAGATTTAGATAGTAATTTGATAACCCTTTTTACCATATATGGATATTACCATACCAACAACCTATTCGCAATACAAATTGCTTTGCAAGATGACCTATAAGACTCGCACTGAGTTTGAAACTTCTTAGAATAATTATCTCTTCTGAAGGATATATATTATAACATCTTACAGTTAACTCGTAAAAGAGGAGATATTTTCTTTAACTAACATGTTATTTTAGGAATATGTTTGTTTGTCACGTACGAGACGCTGTTTTGTATTTTTAATTTGAAATTATGCGCCCCTTGCCTTTGACAAGAAAGTTGCGTTTTTCCCAAATGGTGAAAAACCCGGTTATAAAAAATTTAAAAATTTTAGCATTTGGGCAAAACTTTTAAACTAAAAATTCAAAATTGTTCAATTTTTTTAATTTTGGGCCCAAAAATTTGGGTATTTTTAAAGAGCTCAAAATTTCTTAATCGTTAATGCAAAGTTGCTTTTTCACTGGCAAATTATTTTCCCGGGAAAAAACAAATTTTTTTCCTAAAAACGATTTTGGGTAATTTTAAAAAAAAACTTTTTTATTTTTTAAAAAATTTTTAATTATGTATTAAATGGGAATAATACGGGGGAAGTCAAAAAACCCTGCCCCGGAAGCGGCTTTCCGGGGCCTTTGGCTTCCCCGGCCCTTTTAGGATACCTTTTTTGTATTTTTTAAAAAGGAAATTTCAAAAAAAAATTTTAAAAATTTTAAAAAAAAATTAAAATTTCTTTTTTTCCCCCTTTTCAATAAATTTTCAGTGTCAGTTTTTAGTCGGGCCCCGGGCCTTTTACAATTTAACTAAAATGATAATAGGCGGGTTATTTCCTGATAAACGGAACCCAAAAATCTCAAACTTTTTTCGGATTTAAAAATAATAATGTTGAGGGTTTCCGACATGAAAACCCAAAGGCGGGTGACATGTTAAATTTACCGAATGACACCTTTAAAACGGAAAAAATGAAAGGATTTTTTTAACGACTTCCACGTTAATAAGCTTTGCTTAATTTCATATTACTATATTCAAATTATTCCATTTATAGACTTTATATGAATATCTTACTATAGAAAATTTTATCAAAAATCACAATAAGAGGATATTGAACGAGTATGAGTTCAACATTGAATTAAAACAAAAATGAACGAGTTGAATTATAAGAATCTTACACCGGCTGCCGGTACAAGACCCGGAATATTCTAGCTCGAGGTAAACCTAACTTTTAAAAACAGCGGAACGGGGCTTGCCCGATTTTCCCCTTTTAAAACAGTTCCCCGAGAGTTTAGATTTTCCCAGCCCTTTTTTCCCAAACAGCCGGTGTTTGATTTTTTTTCTTGCATTTAATGTTCATTATTTCGGGAAAACAGAAATTTTTTAAAAAACCTGAATTCTCATTAGGGCCCCTTTTTCTTAATTACGATAACTTTACAACTTTCCATTCAAAACCGGAAAAATGCGTTTTCAAAAAGAACACGTTTCTTTTCTTTAAAAAGTCCCGGGCGTCTGACTTCTTTTACAGCACGGGACCTTGTCTTTAAAAGGGGGGGTGTAAGACAGGTTTCAAAAGGCAGGGTAAAAAAAGGGGGTTTTAGTTTAATCCTTTTTTGGGGTTTGCAAAAAATTTTTATATTAAAGGGGCCCTCTGGCAAACAAAATATTGTTGTTGTTGTTTTCAACGAGGTCAATAAATTTAATAAATTAAATCTACATGAATATAATATTCTTCTCATCATATTACTCAAACAGTGTAAACGAATCACTTTTTCATTGACGCGCTTAGATAAAGCGTAACGCTTACATTTTACGCGTAACGCAAATGACGTCACGTCAAAATAATATGCAAGGCTATGCAATGCTGTTTTTACGGAGTCGCAAAAGCGGCACTGTTGTGTGATAAAATATTGTTTCTTCATAAACTTTAATTGCAATTTATTTCAATTTCGAAGTCTTCATATGGAAAGCAATTTCATTTTATATTACTTTTTCGTTCATTTCATATAACTTTTCGAATTTTAATTTACGTAGAAACGATTATTTTTAACAGCCCAATGCTTGCGAAATTAATTACAACTGACAATGTATCAAGATGATTTCAAATATGCTTCTATGGCATTCCTGATACAATTTTTTCTTATCAAAATTAAAAGAACTCAATGCAGTTTTTTTTATGATCAATGATTCTCATTGGCTAAAATGCACCAATGAAAAATCCTGACACAATGAATGTCATGGCATTATTTGTATAGCGTTTAATAACGTGCCTCGCAATTTTTTAAGCATTACCTGATGCGGATGATAAGGCATTGATGAAGCAAATTGATAGCACTGCTTTAGAAAAACAACTATCCGAACAAATAAAAAACCATTTCTGATTCACCGTTAGCGGAGTCACGTTGTATTGATGGAAATTTAAAAAAGGAAGGACATTTTCTCTGGTGTCATGTTAAAGTAAATGGTATTTAAGCGCGCCACAGCATTCAAAATTGCGCATATCCTCTGAAGAGAGGACTATTAAGCGTTTAATGGATAAATAATATGATATGAAAAGGAATATATTGATTATAATTATATTTAATTTGAATTTCATTGGATAAATGTAAGAATACTCATTTATATTTTTATTCATTTTTTTTGAAATATGTCGAACTAAATGGCACCAAAGCATTTTACAATATTATTTTTTAACTTTTGTATATATTTTAGGTAAATTCAAAGTACTTTTTAAAGGTCAATTCTAATTTTCGATTCATTCGGATACTTTCGAATAGCTAGATTGATACCTTTTAGTATTTATTTAATCTTTTGATAAAACTTTCATCTACTTAATGATCGTTTAATCTTAAAAGGTCAAGTACGAAAATGTTTGAGGTCAGGTACGAAAATGTTTGAGGTCAGGTACGAAAATGTTTGAGGTCAGGTACGAAAATGTTTGAGGTCAGGTACGAAAATGTTTGAGGTCAGGTACGAAAATGTTTGAGGTCAGGTACGAAAATATTTGAGGTCAAGTACGAAAATATTTGTAAATCGAACATTTTGTACATTTTGCATGATTTTATATATTGATAACAAATTTAAGGTGGGCATTATTTCATTAATTGCTAATGAGTGACTGATATTTTCATTACATAAGTTCATTACTACAAAATTAATGTGTTCGTATTTTTTCTTATTTTTTTTTCATTTTTTGATTCTTTCGATTGTTTTAAAAATAAATACTAGTGTACAATTTTGATTACTGCTGAGAGTGTGTTATGTCTTGTTTTATACGGTACACTTCTAATGAAAGGTTCGTTGTATTTTTTGAAACATTCTGTAAAAGTATTCAAGCACTGCATTATTTTCTTTCTCTTTAACATTTGAGCCGCGTCACGACAAACCAACATAATGTGTTTGCGACCAGCATCCGCGCAATCTGATCAGGATCCATGCTGTTCGCTTACAGACCCTATAACAAGTAAATAAACTGATAGCGAACAGCATGGATCCTGCTCAGACTGGTCGCAAACCCATTATGTTGGTTTTGTCGTGACGCGGCTCATTTGATAAAGTCAATGAGTGTCAGACAAATTTTATCTCGAGCGCGTGACAAAATATATCACATAACGCTGAGTTCTGAGAAAAGCAAACAGATTGGGTACCACTATATTATTTTAAAAATATTATTTCTTAACATCAAGTTACCCAGACATCGTATTTATTTCATCGTTATAAGCGGTTACACGTGATGTATAGAACAAGCGGTGTCATGGCAATATTAAATGAGGCATAAATATACTGTTTAGCTAGAACTTTTTGACTGATTTACATTAGCTTCTGTAGACATTTAAAATTGTCAGTTTATTTTGTAACTGTCTGCCGCCTTTAGGATTTTCACAAAAACAATCAATTTGCCTTCCGTTAATGTTGAGCCAATTAGCTATGTTTATTTGTATCATAAATTGTTGTATTAAATCAACTATAATGATGAAGTTTTCCAATTGTGGCTAAGGGATTACATTTAAAGGTTGAGGCACCGGAATCGCAGCCGCCGGTTATCCATGCGTAATCGTAAGAGGCGACTTATTGGATTCGAATAACTGGTGTCTATGCGTCTCTTAGCCTCAGTAGGTGAGGTAGTTCTGACCCTTAGTGTTGCTTTAAGTTTGTAACACCCGAAGTCAGCCACGACCATCGTGCCATATGACCTAAATTGTGTTGGTGCGCCTTGGAGCCAAACAAAGCAAAGCAAACAAAATGACGAAGTTTCGACTTATCTTAATTTATTCTAGCATCTTATTTTCAATAGTTTTATTATTATTCTAAACTTTTCGTTTCAGGGACCAACAGGTTACAACACGTAGAATGAGTACAAACGGCACAATGGATAGTGCGCCGACTTTAACCACTACAGTGTCTCCTGATGACCTTGAAGACACATTGGACCATTATAACGAAGTACAGGCTCTTCGATATTTCCCCGTCTTCGTTTTCCTAGTCATCGTCATGGTCGTTGGTGCAGCAGGCAACGCCCTCGTTCTTTACGTTTATTGTAAACGCTTCAGGAAAACGTCGTCGAATTATTTCATTGTTTCAATGGCGGTGTTTGATTTGCTCGCGTGCTTGATTGGACTTCCTACGGAACTCTATGATCTGAGATTTTCATATACGTTTTATAACTCGGCAGCATGTAAGATTTTCAGATATACTAATACTGTCGTTGTTTACGGTTCAGCTATTATTCTTGTTCAAATCGCGTTTGACAGATACTTTAAGATTTGCAGGCCATTGATGATGATTGAACTGTATAAAATAAAAGCCATGTGCATTTCGGCGGGAGTAATTGCCGTCCTGATTTCAATACCGGCATTAATACTTTTCGGAATATCCCGTACACCAACTCCGGACAAAAATTACCAAGGATATGATTGTTCTATAGAGGAATCGTACAGGAAGAAAACATTTTCAAAGGTCTATTATTACCTACTTGGTATTGTTTTTATCACGACTGTGATTGTTCTTACGGCCTTATACATCCGAATATGGATTGAAATTAAGCGGAGACAAAAGCTAGTTATAGGTGACCCAGTCAGAACACCATCTCAACGCGAGGCTATTCCAATGACCCAGTCTAGAGTATCTGACTCCAAAACCAAAAAACTTCGAGTAAGATACTGCTCCGAATACAGTGACGACGACACGCAAGAAAATGCATCACGGACTATTTTCAGACCGAGGCTACAAAGTCTCGCTCAGGCGATGACGAGATTTCGCGTGAGCAGAACTACAGTAGTGCTCTTTGCAGTAACTGTAGCATTTGTTATTAGCTACATGCCAGGCTTGATAATCATGATTTGTAGATCGGTAGTTAAAGACTTAGAGAGCAAGCAAAGTGTTGCTGAACAAGTACTAAGCAAACTATTCTCAAAATTCTACTTCTTGAACAATGCCATTAATCCTATTATTTATAGCTTTTTGAACATAAGTTTTCGAAGACGCTGTGTCATATTGGTGAAACAATTAATATTTTGTCAGCGGACTGAAATTATGAGGAGACCTGTGCCAGATAAAACTGATTCACAGAAAAGCAACAAAAGCACAAAGAGCAACAAAAGTACAAAGAATGAAGAGGTATAGATACACATGTATATAAATATATTAAGCATGAACATTTGACATATCATTTATTCTATATTGTACTCATATTTGCTCATGTAGTTTATTGGTTTCAAAAATGTACGCTTTTTTCCTCCATGCAACTGTGAATAGTGTCCATTGTAACATTTTGATCTCGAGGCTTTTAAAGGGTACTTTGTTGATTTTACAATTTTTATTATGGATTCTATATTGATTCTATATTTCATGAAAAGTTTTTAAAGCAATAATTATGTACCTGCACCGGTGTTAATGTAAAGAATGCATAATAATCTAACGTACATGTATGTATATCATTTAATTAAAGAAACCTTTTTTAAAGGGACTCCACTGAGGTTTTTTGACATGACAGGACTGGAAATATTGCTCTATATTTGTATACCATTTGGTGTAAGTCTGAATCAATAACTTGTGTGCAAATTTTCAGACCATTTCTTCACTCCGGTTTACTGGAAAAAGCATTTGTATAGCGCACCCCCCCCCCCCAAAAAAAAAGCGTTACAACGCTATTTCACTCAGCTTAGGCTAAGACTTGCACTAACTTTTGATTTTCTATTTGGTTCGTCATGATCCTTTGCAGATTTTTTTAATTTTAAGTGCTACATGTACAGTTGATAAATGACTATATTTTGAGGCTTTTTTTTACCTGAGCGGAGCTCCTTTAACATATTGCTTAATATAAAGTATTATATCAATATAAACTCTCTTACATATAAACATATTGTTTTCTAGTCTATTATTTAATAAGGAATACATGTATATGATATAACAATTACGAAAGACCGGTGGGGACATTTCAACTTCATGAATTCCCGATTTCATCTTCATGAATTCCAGATTTCAGTTTCACGAATTCACGATTTCAACTTCATGATTTCAACTTCATGAATTCACTATTTCAACTTCATGAACTCACGATTCTAGTTTCACGAATTCACGATTTCAACTTCTTGAAGTTGAAATCGTGAGTTCGTGAAGTTGAAATCGTGAATTCATGAAGTTGAAATCGTGAATTCGTGAAGTTGAAATCGGGAATTCATGAAGCTGAAATCGTGAATTCGTGAATTCCGTATATTAAAAACGGGAATTCAGGAAGTTAAAATTGTTAATTCATGAAGATGAAATCGAGAATTCATGAAGTTGAAATGTCCCTTCCGGTCTTTCGTATATAATAGATGTTGTGTATCGCTGAACATGTGTATTATGCATGATGCATTTGATATTGTCACATCATCATTATCATTTGTTTGTTTCACATTTATTCAGTTAATTGTGTTTTATCCAAATGACATATCTCTTAGCTCATCGTCGGATACCAAAGGCCGAACCATTAACATTTAAATCATGTTATTAAAAGTTCTTGATGACATGTTAATCAACCGTAGGTATCCGGCGAGGATGTTAACCTGTTGGCTGCTACGTAATCTACACATGCGTCAAGTGCAGACCAAATTTGGGCGGCACACTCGTTTCGTTTGAACATGGTCTGCACTGTTCGCTATTCAGTTGGATGAATTCTATTGTCCAGATTAAAGAACATGAGTTTATTTATGACATTTAACGGGATAAGGGTTAATGTGTATACAGATAACAAAATGATATATATTTTATCATTGATATTGTATATTAAGACGTATATATTTAAGTTATTTATAGATTACTGTTGGGATATATGGGAAAATATAGCCTGTTCTCAGATCTCAGAAGGTCGTGTATCCCGCCAGCGACTTATGTAACGAATTTATAAAATTATAGACCTCTTACGGGGATAAATTCTTCAAACGACTGATATTGTATTTATATATATAAAGAGAGAGGCTTTTCAAGTTTTTTTTTCTATAAATGCAGGATTTATTTTCATTGAATGGTATGAAAAATAGTTCATGAGTTGCGGTAGTCACGACTGAAATATGATAATTTTCATACCACAAGATGAAAATAAATCCTGTATTTATAGAAGATAAAACTTAAATTTGCTGTTTAGTATATACATTTTTCCTTTTTTTGTGAAAGACTGGCCCTTAAATTGTGTGTTTTGGCTGAATTTAAAAGAAAGTAGTCCGTCAAGACACTAGTGAAAATATAGAAAATGTATTTCACATCAGTGAAAAATATTTTTTACAGTGAAAATAAGGAAAATGAAAATACGCACTTTATTTATTTAATATTTCTGAATATTTCGTTTAGTATAATCATAATTAATAAGACTATTACAAAGAACGAGGACATTCAAGGAAATGTGCATAATCTATGGTATAGTATATGTTTTTAAGGCGAATTTGTCAGTAAGTTATTCTATTTTTCAGCGATTTATCAAGAACAGTTTACCAATGTGGTTTGATATAAAAGTAGCCCAAGTGGACCCGAAATCTGGCAATCAACCGAAGTTAACAATCTATATAAGATAGAAAAAGAACATATTATCACTTTTATTATCACTTTTACATAAATTGATATTATGAACAAGAATGTTTGTCAAAAAGCGTACTTTTGTTATGATATGTTTTTGTTATAAAGTGTATTCGTTTTTATCCAAAAAAAGTATTTTTGTCAAACAGTGTGGTGTTATTGAGAAATATCTTTTTGCCAAAATGCTATTTTTACAAGAATGTTATATTTTGTCAAGATAAGTATTTTGCAAATTTGTTATTTTATCCTAAAAAAAGTATTTTGCCAAGAGAGATATTTTGTCAGAACGTTTGGTTTTATTGAGAAATATCTTTTTTGCTTTTTTTGTCAGAAGTGTTTTTGTTTGTTTGTTGTTGTTTTTTCTTCCTCAAAATGGGTATTTTTTGCCAAGTTCTTGTTTTTTTCGAGAAGTGTATTTTCCAAAATTTTGTCAAGAAATGTATTTGGCGAAAAAAGTCCGTTAAAAAGGGTATTTTGGACACCAATAGGTGGATTTTGTTTAAAAAAAAAAAAAAAAAAACAGTAACGGATTTTTGAATTTTGAAAAACAAGAAACATAACATATTAATTTCTTAACATGACGACTGTTCTAGGAGCATGCCTAATTTTCATGAAGCAGCATGCTAATTTCATAAACATTTTGAAAATGTATTTTAAAGAATTTAAAAGTTAAATATTGTGAACGAAGAGAGTAATTCATACACTGCAACGGAAATTACAAAAGAAGAGGTCAAAGTATTTAAAAATAGCCATAACTGCGTTAGACACACAGTAGCTGAATGGTCATAAATACTGCAAAATCAAACACAACATGTAAATCATTACTTAAATCTAGATTTGAGCCGCGTCATGACAAAACCAACATAGTGCGTTTGCGACCAGCATGGATCCAGACCAGCCTGCGCATTCGCGCAGTCTGATCAGGATCCATGCTGTTCGCTATCAGTTTCTCTACTTGCTATAGGGTTTGTAAGCGAACAGCATGGATCCTGATCAGACTGCGCGGATGCGCAGGCTGGTCTTGATCCATGCTGGTCGCAAACCCATTATGTTGGTTTTGTCGTGACGCTGATCATTTCTTTTTTACTTTTCTTTAAATATTTAATCTTAGTTCATATTTCTCAAGTTATATTTTATTGGAATACATTGTATTTTGGTTCATCTGGAGGCATGCAGCTTTAAGCAGTGTTTTATATAACGTTATGTTATATAACTCATTTTTGCCTTCATTAATAACAATGCAATAGAATGATATACATTCGGGCATTAGTTAGATATTTGTCTATAAACAGGAAAAAACCTGATGTTTGTAAATGCATAGTTTCTGTGAAATGAAATCATGAAATGTTGTTTTATAAAATGAAAGCGCATTGCAGAAGATTCATATCTTGTTTATGACATGAGTGAGACTAAAAAGGGATTGGAGCACCACACTAAATACCGTATTCCGGTATAAAAGTCGCTTGAAAGATAAAATGCTAAAAGCTTGCCTTTTTTCCCAACAGAATGAACTTTAACAGGTTTAATTCATCTTTTCACACCGAATTAAGTACGATAATGAATGAAAAATGTAAAAATCGGCGAAAAAAACGATATTAGTCTATTTTGTGATCACGATTTCTGCAAGCGTCTAGAGGTACTGCTCCAATCCTGTATTGAGTTAAATCCTTGATGAGGTACAACGATTTTGTATTAAGCCCAATATTTATATGTTAACATGGCACAACTTGTTATGAATGTTATCTTTCTTTCTTGTTGTCTTATTTTATGTTGTTGTTGTTTTTTTGTTTGTTTTTATATTTAAGAAAATCACTATAGACGCTGATTGAACTTTCTTGTACCATCATCTGAACCTGGTGGGCTTGCCACAGTTCCATTTTGGAATATTCCATTAACAATTTAGATATGTCATGGTAAAGGGTTGTTGGCAAACAGAATGAAACTTAGTCAGACTTTACATAGTTAACTGGACTTTAACTTGGAACACTTTATTAAAACGTACGTAACGTTTTTGCTATGTCTGCATTGAGTTTCAATGTTGAGCTTGGAAATGTATATTTCTTTTGTAAAGCAAACAAATTTACTGTAAACATCGCATGTTTTCTGAACATGCTAAAAGATTTTTATGTTCAACGTACGCATGACCGCAATTTACAAAATATTTTTTTAAACCATCGATAAGGATGTTTCTATAATACATAGAGTACAAATATTACAAAAGCTGTGACCTTTGCAATGTTTCATGATTTTTAAAGGTTAGCAATAAAATAGACGAATTCAATAGATGAATTTTAACCACAGAAGTCTTTAAGTCTAAAAATGAAATTTTGAATTACTCAAGAAATTTACTCAGAAATAAATTCTAAACCCGACTTTGAGTAAAAGGCGTTGAAATAATTTACATTTTGAAATTATGCTTGAAAAACACACCTAGCAGATGATTTGAAATTTTGCTCAAAGTAGGTACATACCTACCTCTTGAAATGGTATAAAAATCCAGAAAAAAAATGTCCCACCCTCGTCATGTAAAAAAAACACACACACACACACACACAAACTAAGTGGAGTCCCTTTAACGTGTATACATAATGTAGAAATGGTGAAGCAAAAATAGATTAATTAATTAAAATAAAAAAGCAAAAAGGTAGGACAGATCTATTGACATTTCAAGAATATTAAAATTTCTTTTATTCTGTTCCATTTTTTTAATCCTGAAAAATTGTCTGATTAGTGGAACACTATGCCGATATTAAATTACAAATGCTATGAAGAAAGGTAGAGAGATTTATTACAAAATAAACATAAATGATTTCATAAATAATCTGATATTGACATTTAAAATCTTGTTAATAAAATGTCTTCTTTTCTCCAGGAAATATTTATTACCCTTTTTTCGTAATTTATATTTCATGAAGTTTTTACAATTTTATTATAGAAAATCACCATTTTGTATGAATATGTATATAAAATGATCGTTGTTTTTTTTTTATAAATAAAACATTAATAAATCATTTTTGTTTGTGTTATCCTGTAAAAACCAAATGTATAATATTACTTTTCTTGACTCCCTTTTTCTATTACATAATTATGAGATCAAAACCGGGTTTTCAAATAGACGGACGCTGTTAAAAGGTAAAGGACAAATGACATTTATACTTTTTGATTAAATAAAATCGGATATTTAAACATCAATACGTTTTGTCGTATTTGTTGAAACGATTATATCTGAAATTTGTCATTAACTAGTAATATATTTAAGTGTAGAAATGTATTTCCTAATGGGAATAGAATGCATTTATCGGGTAAGTATGGCGGCTGATGAACGCCATATGGTATTTTGCCTTTTACCACACCATATACGAACATATAAATATATACGACAAAGTTTAAAGTCGCCCTTCTTTTGTCGTCCTTTCGCATTTTTTTAGGCAAAATTCCGAAAATACGAAGATACGACAAAAGTTACTTTGTCATATCTTTATGTTTTGCGTTTTTCTATTTCGGGGCGAAAAAGTTAAAATACGACATACAGTAATACTAGCCACCATAGGTAAGATCATCTGAGGGGAACCCTTTTACATTGCGTTAGATATATGCCCGTTTTTGTATCAAACTGGAAAGTTAAAGGTATTGTGTGGCTGTTTCTAAGTTTAAAATTTTACCATTACATGTTAAATGATAAACCATGATTGAGCCGGTACTAGGGGGCATGGGCGCTAACTTGTACTTATCTGTACCGTGCATGAATAGTTCCTATTAAACCGAGCCTGCAACAATTTTGCCGTTTTGGGCGTTCTTTTGGAATTCCATTTTTCTATAGCTGTAGTATCTGAATACTTATTTACAAAATGTGCTTTCTAGGGACTGTTATGCATTCATTACAATTTCACCAAAATTTCACCTACGGACTATTTAACCGGGAATGATTTCACCTAGGACAATTTGAAGCATTTTGATATCTTTTGATAAAGATTTCTATACCAAATAAACGACTAAGTAATAATTGCTGCGTATGTCCTCTCAGAACGCAGTATTAATTCGTCTGTGAAATTTTTTTTATCAATCCATTCATTACGTACATTTATTGTTATCCATCTTTTACCCACAACGGCCAGACAATATATGAGATTTTACGGAAATAGACTGGATATGAACTTCTGACATGCTTTAATAACATAGATAGTGTCATATTTTAATATGGTTTATTCTTTAATCCGGTTCGCGGCGCACTTCATGGCACATCATTATTTTGTATAGATTTCACTATTTCATGTTAGATTCATGGCATTCTTCCAAACGCATTAACTGGAATTGATGATTGACTTTGCTTGAACATAAACACGTGAGCTAATTAAGTATACATGAAGACTTGTACACTTTCATATATACACTACGAATGGAAGAAATGGGGTTAGTAAAACTTGAAGTGTTTTAATTTTTACATTCACGTGATGACTTCAAAAAGAAGCATTAAAATAAATATCATAAAGTTCTTGTACATGTTATGATAAAAACTACTTTTTGAAAATATCATAATGAAAAATATTTTTTTAAAAAAAGAATAAGAGGAGCTTAGCTTATAAAATGAAAATATCGCAGAGATCGAGAGATATTCATCTTAAGCATATCATATATTGGGAATGACCCAATAGCAAATTTTCGGCCTTTTCCGTCAGTCGTCGACAAAAAATGGCTACCAGGGGAGGTAATTATTGCTAAGTGATAGCAACAGTATAAAGTTCATGAACGTATTATATTGTATATAATTTTAACAAATGTAAATTGACAAACACTTAATTAAATTTACAAAAAAATAACAACAACAAAATTCTGCCGATTGACGGCCAGGTCCACAATAAAACTGGTTATAGCCACTACTTAAGGGCCCAACCAATCTGAATCTGAACAATCTGGACAGACCAAGCCAATACTAGATACAATTTATCTCTCGATTTTAGATCTCTGATACATGTGTATCGAAATCCTTCAGATTAACAATGAGCAGCAGGATAACTGTTGCACAGAATTTGCGTAGGTATGTCGGCCCGGTATACTTCTAGCCACTACATTGACATTTACACACAATACGTCGATACCGAATTACTTACCGAGTTACACGCGGTTTTACACAGATTAAGTAACATAAAACACACTTTGATCAGTAGAGGGGTGTGTCATTAAGACCAAATGGAGAAAGTTAAAATCAGAGCCGCCATTAATTAAGTACCTCTGTAAGAAAGGGATGTCCCCCAAGGAAATCCATGGAGACTTCATGGATATAGTTGGGAAGGAGTCCCCTTCCTCTAGCACTGTGAAAAAATGGCCGAATTTCTGAGAGGCAGGAGAACATTGGAGATGATGAGCGGCCTGGGCCACCAACGATGAAACTGCCGAAACTGTGCACCATCTGGTCATGTGCGACAAGAGGCAAGGCCTGTGAAGCATTGCTAGGGAAGTGGGTATAAGCTTTGGTTCAGTTCAGGCAATAGTGACTGATGTCTATGGCATGTCAAAGGTTTCCGCTAGATGAGTCCCCAGACAGTTGACTG